GATTTAAAGAGTGTTTTCCATCTTGTTTTATCATTTCTCATCATCAAATCACACTTCTAATCATGATTAACAACACATCTTGCAAAGGATCTAGTGTGTTGATCATGATTAGTGAGTAATCCCATATTAAGGTCTTAGATATGTAGATTAGGGTGCTTAGGTGGTAGATTAGTGAGCTTAGGGGTTAGATCATGCATATTCCATTCTCTACAACCTGTTCTTAATGCTAGATCCATACAAATCATATGTGATCTAGATTCTGGGCATTTCATGCATCAAAAGTTTTTGATGAAATGCGTGAACCAAGGTTGTTAGAGGTTTAAGTGTTATTTATCATGGGAATGATTGTCTATATGCTTAAATGACAGATTAAACTGATTCTTAATGCTTGTTGACTAATGTTTCACTAATGATGATTAGGTTAGCAACTTTTAGCATAGAAGTTGATACCTTCATGAGAGGATTAACTTAATTAATGATGTTTAAATTGAATGGTTTGCTTGATCATATGGTTCATTAGCTCATTAGTTTAACACTGAAGGCACCCTAATCCACTATCATGTCTAAGACCTTTCTCATCATCATACATACATTCTCATCATTATTTTTTTCATTTTCTTGTCTTTGTTTGATCACTTCTTTAGTCATTAATCTTGTTTTAAGTTTGTAGTTGTCACAAATCAATCAAAACCTCACCTGTTTGCTTGAATTGAGAAACTGATCACATAGCTTAATGTCTATCACCACATTCTTGGATTGACAACCTCTTTTGTGCTACTTTGACAAGGGGATTGATAGCCCTGAGACCTAAAAATTCTTGTCTATCAGCAGAGCGTCCTGAATTGTTTGCGGCGTGTTCAGCGCCATCTCCCGTCGAAACTCTGATTTGTACCATAGGGATCGCTTTAGGGCTTCAAGGGCGGCCTTGTCACTTATTCCTTCTACTTTGGATACAACAGCTTTGAACCTTGCCATGTAATCCCGAAGCGGTTCGTTAGGTACTTGAGATAACATCCATAGATCGGCGTTGGAGGTGCCTCGGTCCAAGAACATCGAGTACTGCTTCAAGAACAAGGCGGAGAGCTGCTGGAATCTGTTGATCAAATTACGTTCTTGCCTTGAGAACCATTCTAGTGCGGCCCCTTTGAGATGCTCTACAAACAACAGACAATAACCGGTGTCTTTTTCTTGCTTGGTCAGGTTGGCGGAGTTCCTCGTGAAGGCTCGTCCCATTGCTATGCGGAACACCGTGATATGACCTTTTGGGTCAGTGGTTCCTTCATAGAAAGAGATCCTGACTTTTCCGGTCTCGGGGATCCTAGCCTCTGTGATCCTCGTCGTGAACGGAGTTCTTTGGGTTTCCTCGAGCATTCGATCAATCGCTGGCGCGGCACTTGTCGCATTATGCACTTGAGATTTCATGGCGCGTATCTCTACTGCTGTCCGAGCCATTGAGGCTTACAACTCTTCGATCTCCAAGGTCTGTGTGCGGGTCATTCTCCTAGGTGGGCGAGGTCGCTCCTGTTCTTCTCTCCTCGGCTCGTCTTCGTACTCTGCCTGCTCGACCCATTGGAGATTTTCCTCTTCCTCGGTTGGGTCGTTATCGCGAATTGGGTTGGCGACTTCGTCAGCTTGAATGCGATTTAGTGCCGAGGCGAGCTCTTCTTGACTTATCTGCCGAGCCGAGCTATTTTGTTGCGAGTTCCTGGTTCTGTCGCTATGTTGGACGTCCACATCGATCACGTCGTTCTCCTCCTCATCGCCTCGTCGCCTTGAATTTTGACGAAGTGGGGGCGGCTCGGTCATGTTGACTCGGGTAGCTGCAGGAGTTTGTTCGCCGAGGGGACGAAACATTAGCGGAGCCATGGGATTTCTTATGCCTCTACCGGATGCTCCTGCAGGTGTTGAGAAATCGAAGCGTCTCTTGACTCTATCTGTCGGATCGGAGATCCTGGCTTTCCAAGTTAGGTGCCATCTTTCGGCGTCATTGCGTCAAGTCTCTCCGTAATCGCCTCATTCCTCTTGTCCTGCTCGTCGATTTTCTTCATCAACGTGGCCATCATGTTTCGCATCTCCTCCTGGGCTTCGGTGGTTGTCGTTGTCGTGCTTGCTGGTGGAGCGTCTTTCTCCGTGCTGTTGTTGTTGTTGTCGTCTCTGGGTGCGTCGGTTGCCATGTTCTTCGGATGTTTAGCTCTTGACGATATTGAGTAAGAAAATTTCAAGTCCCCACAGACGGCCTCAAATTGTATGAGCCAAAACTCGCACAACCAAAAACTTGTTAAGAAAAACTTAAGGGATTCGAAATCTCTAAGGTTTATCGCAAGAACAGTAAGATCAAAAAGAGGGTTTTTTGCTGGAAAAGTGTTTAAGTTTTATTGCTCTCGAGTTATCCAACCGATTCAGTCTTCGGGGTCTCGGGAAAGCGACTATATATATAGAGTCTATGAACCGCCTAGCTGAGAATCTCGGGAAAGATTTTCAGAATATTTCCTTATCGCTTCGTGCGGCCACCGCCATAACACTTTTCCTAGGGTTTTTATGGGCCTACGTCCTTTACGATCTTGGCTCATCTCATTGAAGAAGGACTGGCTTGGCCCAACACGAAGAAAAGCGGCTTGGCCCATTCTTCCTCTTGCTCAGCTCGGTCCACTCTTTGTTCTTCTCACGGCTCGGCCCATTTATCTTCTTCCACGGCTCGGCCCACTCGTCTTGGTGAGCACACCTTGCTCCACTTGTTTTGTGGGACGGCTCGGCCCATATTCGGCGGGCAGCTGTTCCTTCTTGCCAAATCGGTTTTCTCCAATACTTAATCATTTTTAGATGGTTTTATCCGCTTGGGGTGAAACCGGCCCCAACATCATTTGCCAGAAACTCAGATCGAGCTAGGTGCCGATCTTTATACCTCTGGAAAGATCATGCTGCAAGGAATCCATAGAAGTTTACAGATCGAAAATCCAAGGTAAGCTCCGTTTTTTATGTGAGCTTCTTTCTACAAATCCAATTTTTCCAGTTTCGCAGAGCCAACTTGACAGAGGTTTACCATCGATCTAGAAGGACCCAGATCACTTTCTACCCATTGAAGCTATTGAATCCAACTTTTCAGAACAAGTTTCGGATTTCAATTCTTAGGTGGGATGCGAAAGTTATGGGCTTGCCTTCTCGGCCAAGAAACAGCTTAGTCATGCGAATCTGAAACCCTAGTTTATTGCTTTATGTGTATCGCATACCTTGGGACGCATATTCTAATCAGCTTTTCCGACGCACCGAATCTTCAACCACAAGGCAAAGGTGAGGAGGGACTTGTGGATCTATAGGTTGTCTTAGACATAGTTGTATATGTGTGTGCTGAACCTAGAATTAGAGATTGATTGATAATTCAAACGAACATGTATGATTCTTTGAGAACTGTTGTATGTATTTGTTATTGGTGTTAGTTTACGCGCGTTAGAGCGCATGATTGATCCCGACCTATGGACGGATTGCTTGCTGGTCTTACGGAGGACGTTTCGCGAAGTGGGACCATGGCTAGACCATACACAGAGGAAGTGTGGCTAGTACAGGGGCTGACGGGCCTGTGAGATTTGTGGCTGACGAGTCACCAAATTTAAACAGTGTGACGTTCTTGTGAGTGGAAACTTATGTGTTAGGTTTCTGTATACTAGTGAAATATTTATGATTGTTGTTTGTCTAATATTAGGTTAAGTAGACATATATGTGGTTATGTTTAATTCTTTATATAAATCAAGTGCACAGGTAGGATCGTCCTCACTGAATAACTTGTTACTCACCCCTCTCTCTTCTTTTTCAGGTGAGACCGAAGAGTAGTACTTGTGGCGAATGATGCGGTGTTGCTTCTGGGGACCATGGCCGTATTTTATTTAATTATTTTCAATAAAGATTTTTATTATATTTTCTTTAGTTTTTATTTAAATATCGAAAATTTGATTTATTATTAAGACGTTTCAAGTTCCCGGTTTACTTATTTTTAATAAAGAATTTCTGACAATAAATGAATATTTAATGAGTTCGTTATTCTTTTAAAAATTGTTAGATGAGTGTAAATCAAGTTAGGTTTAAATTGCAATGTGTCTTAGAACCGCCTATCATCACAATCGGTTTTGATCTTATCTATTCATTACATTTATTATGATATGATAAAACAATGTTGGGGTTTTGTGGGTACATTACTTTTGGAATGGGAGAGGGATGAAACTGAAAAGAAAATTTCTGGAACAAGAAAGGCTTTGGAGCGGGAGATTTCAGGGTATATATGAAGGTTAAGAACCAAACACTCAGTACCGGCTTGAGTCAATGGTAAAATCTGAAACAGGGTCACAATATTGGGGCTATTGTTCTTCTGTCTCTCCTTTATAGTCTCAAAATATGTGATGCAGATTTGTTGTGGTAAAGACGAAGAATACATTTGCCTTGCTTATAAAAAGAACCGGCGGGTCAGTTTCAGACATGACGCTTTAACAAAAGAGGTAAGACAACATTTGCCTTTGCATGTCTTTCTTGAGCTGAGTTATGAACTTAGATATCATTGATATGTGTGGTGATGCCATAGGCTGTTGGTAGCTGGAAGAGTGTGGCCAGATTCTGTGGAGAAATGAAGATTCGGCCCGAGATTCTGTTTTATGCAGCTGCCTGATCGATAGCCTAACAAGTCACATAATTGTTATCGAAATTGGATTTTAGCATTGATGTATCGAAATTCAAGAAATGAACATTGTGACAATAGATCAGTGGAGATTAGAAAGTAGTGAAGTTGAATAACCGAGAATGTTAGCGTCATTTCAAATCTGAAGATCCCTAGTTTTTACAACTCTTAACAACTGCAGACAATCCCTGAACCGTTCTTGGAAAGCTTTACTATAACAAAGTATCCAGTTTATGTACAAAATATTTGTCCATAATCAGTTTATGTACAAACTCAACAGAGTATATCAAAAAGGTAAAATAAATAAAGCTTTTAATAAAGGTACTGAGTAACACTAGTATAGAGTATCTCACAAAAGTCAAATTAACTAAATCTGCGAGCTGTATCTCTCTATGATCATCTTCACAAGTGTTACCAGCCAATAAATCGAATTGAAATGCATAATAATGAAAAAAAACTGAGCTGTGCTTTTGGAGAATAGTACTATAATCAATGATCTTATCACTCAAGATGTTGAATTTTAGCTGAAGAAAAAAGAAAAATCTATTCAAAATGTCTATCTCCAAAGCATTGTTCTACTAACTCTATGTATAGTCTTTGACTTAGACCCAGTCATCGATTCTAAAGTTTTGCATATACATCAATCCATTTCCTACACCACTGACAAATCTTTTATTGGTTTTTAGATCTTTTCCCTAAGGACCCGAACACAATCTTGCTTCCCACCATAATCTGCAATCCAAGTAGGTGAAATTAAGAACACGCACACACAAAAACATACGCAAATATACAGTTGAACGAGCTTACGTTTTCAAAATATAGAATCTCAGGCCGCATATTCAGTTTTACAAAGGACCTGAGAACACTATCCCAGTCTCCAATAACCTAGAAAAGTAACATACATCATTCAGTTTAATTTGCAGAACCCAAGACAAAGAAGTCACAGATCGAGTAACTTTCTCGTATTATAAAGATGACTAAGCTTTACCTCTTTCTTAGAACCAAAATGTCTGACCCATCTTTTGTTTTCATAAGCTACACAGTTGTATTCATCTCCATGGAAGCAAACCTGAATATTAACATTGGAGTTGTTTCTGGTAACATACTCTTCATTAGGAAACCCAAACAAAACTGAAAGATATAGATTACTGGCCTTACCATTGATACAAGACGGTATTTGGTGAATAGATTGTCACCTTCGTATTTGTATACTGCACTAATATCTATCACAGTCGCCAGAGCAGAAGTTGTATCTAACATCTCTCCTTCTGTCTCGTTGTTCTCCCACTCAAGTGCTAAAAAAAAACCAGAAGAAATTCTCAAAACTACTCCATTATGTAGTTGATTTAACCAATTCACTCCATATCTCTTACCAATTGTAAAAACATATGGAAGTTTATTGATCATACGATCAACATAGCTTCGTTTCCCGCATCCTTCCTTGTCACAAGGCATCATCAAGGTGATCCTGATAACCTTAAGGATGTTCTCAAACGTAAAATCCTCGAATGCAGACTGTGATAACCAAACATTTCCACCATCATTCTCAAGGTAGACTGAATCCTCGTTCTCTTAATCTACAAGGAACAAATAAAAAAACTGACTTGCCTTGAATTCTCTGAGTGAATTAGCGGCGACGGTTAGACCATAAGAACGTTCAACCGGATATTCCGTATCCATTTTGCATCTATTGCAAATCTTTTTCGTCTCTTCCAACAGTTCAAAGTGGGAATTGAGAGGCTTTTCCCCATTTTCATTCCTCCATCGAGGAAGAAGCTCCAAGATGGTTACCAAAAGCTCAGAAACAGCGTTTGTTTCCTGCATAGTAAAAAACAAGAAGATATAAGCTCATATGAAGAAGATTGAGAAAGAGTAATTAACCAAAGAAGATATAAGCTCATATGAAGAAGATTGAGAAAGAGTAATTAACCAAAGACAAAGGCTTAAAAAGGTCAGAGAAGAGAACCATAGGATGAGCGAGAGTTGGATCGTTCAGAAAGAAATCACGGAGTTCGGAAACATATTCATCTTCTGTGAAGCTGGGCAACTCTTTAGTGAAAACGCTGATTTTCCACAGAGACTACACAATCACGTTCTTTCTTCAGAACTTTAATCAAATAAACAAAAACGAGAGAAAAAAACGAGATTCAGAATGCACAACCACAGTTCTTGCAAAACCTTGAGTATCATATCAAGAGATGAAACCAGAGTGGGGTTTGGTTTCTCTTCAGATTCCTTTGGTTCCAACGTTTCGTGACCCTCATAATTGGTTGCGAGATCTCTGAACAATAGATAAGAACCAAACAAACGATTCTCAGAGACATTCTATGAAGCTAAAAGCATAAAGCAGATTGTACTTTACTACTCACGGATCTATTTTCTGGGCAGTTTCTTTTTTTTTCTTCAGTTCTTCAACCTTTGATGGCTCCGTCTCCATGATCAGGGATTGCTAAATCTCGTAGAAAGCAAGGCGTTTCTTCTTTCTGATTCCACGACTCTCTGGATTTCCCGAGAAAAAAACACAGAGAGAGAAAATGGGGAAGCGTCGAAGAGAAGAAGACGAGGACGAAAGGAGACTGAAGGGTCAGAGTGGGTTGGTTTGTTAGCGTGATTGTCACGTGATTTGATAAGAAGGAGCGCAAAGATTGGAGATGTGATCTTCTGTCACGAGAAAAAATATATTGTTAACTTTTGTCAAACACTTGGTGTGCACAAAAATCCAGTAGACACAGAAATAACGAGTTTTCCTATTATTTATCATCGCCTAACTTCGGGAAATTAGAAAAAAATACACGTGGTTGTCAAAAAATAAAATACACCTAGGTTTTTTATTTTCTGATTTTATCAGATCAATTGTTTGTCTTCTTTATTTTCATAAACCGTTTATTCATCTCTTACCACTTAAGATTGGGTCTGTTCGAAAATATGACGCTGCGTCACCGACTTGCGATTAAAAAAAACTGAAATTATAAGTTGATTGAGACTCAAGTATGTGGAGAGTAAGAGGCAATGTCACCCGCAATGGGTTACGGTGACTATTCCGACTAACACTGAGTTTTCTCAGCGTCACCGGCGACACTAATAACACCCATGAAAGTAGCCGCAGCGTCGTTCTTTTTATTTTTCATTGTTTCATTTGTGGTCGTTCAAAATAAATTCAAACATTGAAATCTCAATTTAGATTTGTTATTAATTTCTTTAAATATAGGTTATATTATATATCAAAATAAAAAAATAAGTTATTATTATATTTTTACGAAAATAATAATTCATATATTAATTTATATTTAAATTAAACATTTAAATTTAATTAATTTTTTGAATAACAAAGAAAAAATAATATATTATTGTATATTTTAATTAAATAAATCTAAATTTTTTCATATTCAAACTTAAAAAAATATATAGAATATATAAATAATATGAATAGACGGGTTATAATTATGTTTTAATAGTCGAAATTTTTTAAATTAGTATAAATAAACATGTTATAATGATGTTTTTATAGTCGTTATACTTTCAGATTAATATGAACAGACGAATTAGAACAATATTTTTCTAATCGCATTCATACATATATAAGAAAAAATAGATCAATAGAACAAATTATATATAAACAGAAAAATATATTTCACTTATTAAAATATTATATCTAAAAAAATAAAAACAAAAATTGTATTACAAATTTTGAAAAATTATAAATATTTCCCGTGCGGATGCACGGGATAGAAATTTTTTTTTTTAACATCTATATTTATTTCTATAAATTTCAAATTACATAAAAAACTTAAAATAGTAAATGTTGGAGATAAATTTAATTTTTCATACGTGACGAGTAATGTGTTGGCATGTGGCATCTATGGTTTTTTTCTAGGTACGGTATCCTGAGTCAAATTCGGTCTTTTATTAGGCTTACGGTCCAATACGATCTAAACATATAGCATTGGGCTTCGAATCCGAAGGATTCGAGAGATTCAACATGAAAGACCACCTATTCTCGAGTTCCTCGTACATGACAGTGTGGCTGATAGTAAGTTTTTAGCCTACTAAGGTCAATTAACTCTTGTGTTCTAGCACTTGAGGGTCAATCCAAATGGAGACACTACAAGAAAACAATCGTTTTCCAACGGTCCATTACGACAGTTTTTAAATCGTCGCAAATTTTCAACGATTTTACGACGATCTTACGTCTAATTTAACAACCGTCGTATATAAAAATCATCGTAAACTCGACGTACAATTTACGACGAATTACGACGATTATACATCGATAACGAGAGATTTGCTAGTAAATGTAAAGTCGTCGTAAATTCGTCGCAAAATTACGACGAATATACGACGACTACATTTCGATGTACATATTACGACGATTGTACGTCGAAAAAGGAGTTAGGTGAAAAACATTTGAAACATGTTTACCTAACAATTGTAGATGAAAAATTTTATCGCAAAATCGTCGTAAACTCGTCGTAATATCATTGTTGAATGTAAAACCGTCGTAAAAAGTCGTCGTAAAAGCGTTGTAAAGCCTGAAATTTTCCTATAAATAGATCTTCATTCCTTCATTCAATCACAACACATCATCATTCAAACATAAGAGCATCTTCATCTTGGAGACCCATTGTAGGTCTCTTAAATTTTAGTATAGTGTTGTAAATCCTTATATATTGGGTTGTCCATTGCTGAAAACCCGAATTAAGAGTTATATTACTTTGAATCAAAGAAGTAATAATATTATAAGGTTAATTTACTTCATTCACGTGGCTAGACGTGACACAAGAGACCACCTCCTTTATTGTCTAATCAATAAAAAGAGACAATATTTTGAGTTTATCTTCAAGATGTCTATATACGAGCTAAGAAGTTGGATGTATATGCGTAAAGATTCAGATGGGGCGTTGACAGAAGAGTTCAAGAACGGGTTAGAAATATTTATGTATCAAGCTACAAATATGGAGAGAACGAAAGATAGTGGGAAGATGTTTTGTCCTTGTTTGAAATGCAAGAATACGAGGTATACACTAACCAAAACCGTGTGGACGCATTTATTAAATAGAGGGTTTATCCGCAATATTTTGTTTGGTATCTACATGGAGAAGGATATGGCAGTAATACTCATGGGAATGCTGGTAGTAGTAGTAATTATCAAAGTCATGTTGATATTGATGAATCGAATTATGGTCATCAGCCTAATCAGTATCAATATGACCAAAGTTTAGATCATGATAGGATGCACGAAATGGTGACTGATGCATTTCATGAAACGCATACGGGTAATGCTGTTGAGGAACCTAATGTAGATGCCAAACGATTTTATGATTTGTTAGACAATACTAATCAGCCAATCTACGAAGGATGTAGAGAAGGCTTGTCTAAATTATCGTTGGCAGCTAGGATGATGTCAATTAAAACAGATCATAACCTGGCTGAGGTTTGCATGGATAATTGGGCTGATCTTCTGAAGGAGTAACTACCGGAGGATAAATTGGCAGCGGGAACATACTATGAAATTCAGAAGTTGATTTTTAGTCTTGGTCTACCTTCTGAGATGATAGATGTATGTGTTGACAACTGTATGATTTTTTGGAAAGATGATAATCAGTTGGAGGAATGTCGATTTTGCCAAAAACCAAGATACAGGCCGCAAACTGGTAGTGGGCGTAAAAGGATACCGTACCAACGTATGTGGTATCTCCCTATAACTGATAGGTTAAAACGGCTTTATCAATCTGAAAGGACAGCTGCATCAATGAGATGGCATGCAGAACATACACAAGTAGATGGAGAAGTTGTTCATCCATCAGATGCAAAGGCATGGAAACACTTCAATATGGTATACCCAGATTTTGCTAAGTTCAAACGGAATGTCTATCTTGGTCTGTGCACTGATGGTTTTAGTCCATTTGGTATGTCTGGTAGACAATATTCATTATGGCCAGTAATCCTAACTCCTTATAACCTTCCTCCAGATTTGTGCATGCAAACAGAATTTCTTTTCCTAAGTATTTTGGTTCCAGGTCCAAATCATCCGAAGCGAGCTCTCGATGTATTTCTTCAGCCACTCATACATGAGTTGAATCAGTTATGGTATACTGGCGTTCGTTCATGAAGCATCTTAAAGGTAAAGCCAAAAACATAGCTAAAGTGGAAGGCTCAATTGTGGCGGGAAGCTTAACGCAAGAGACTTCACACTTCACTTCATACTATTTTGCACCGAAAGTACGAACACGCAAAAGAGCTACTCGTCGATATGATGATGGAGGAGTTGGCCATACTTATGCCGTTGAAGGTGTACCTGACATATTCTCGCCGATCGGACGTCTTAGTGGAAAACTAAAAGATGTTTGGTGGTCCAATGAAAAAGATTATCACAGTGCACATACGTATATCCTGTTAAATTGTGAAGAGTTGTCATCGTATGAAAGGTACTTTTTTAATTAATAATATCTTTATATGAGTTGTCAGTATTAATAACTATTTGTTGTTTTTCTCAGCACATTTGTTGATGAGGTTAAAGAATGCATATCTGGGGTTTCTGAAACTGAAATCAATGATCGTAAAGATCAACACTATGCCCAGTGGTTAAAAGGGCAAGTACGTATAAAATTTTAATTAAAAGAGTACTACTTTAATTTGCTATATATCGAAATCAAGAAATCAAAGCGGAATTTTTTTCTTATTAGGTGGACCCGAATGATCCAGATGAATTTCCAACATGGTTCCATGAGTTACTACTAGGTCCAATGGCAAAAATAACTACAGCCTCAATGTATTTCATTCGGGGCTATGTTTTTCACACATACCGTCACGGTGCAAAGCGGGCGACAACAAACTATGGAGTTTGTGTGAGGGGTGAAATCAATTTTTATGGAGTTGTGCAAGAAATAATTGAAGTAGAGTATCCTTGATTGTTAAGGCTGAAAACTGTTCTCTTCAAATGTGATTGGTTTGATCCAACTGTTGGACGAGGGGTACGTCTAAACAAGTTTGGAGTTGTTGACGTGAACAAATCACGACGGTACAACAGGTTTGAGCCATTTATATTAGCTTCTCAAGCAGAACAGGTAACGTTTCTGTCATACCCTCGAGTTCGATCAACAGGAATTTCATGGTTAGCTGTAGTTAAAGTGGCTCCGAGGGGCAAGATTGTAGGGGTTGAGGATGTTCCACTTCAACAGGACACTTGCGTATATCTGTCTGAACCAGATGTTGATGAGGAGATTTTCTTAATAGACCCTCGGAACAGGCAACTTGAAGATCTTCCCGATGATACAGAAGAAGAAGGTGATGATGAGTTTGCTGAAACCGATGATGACGATTTGGCGGAAGAAGACGGTGATGGTGATGAAGTAATAGAGGAAGATGAATCTGATTGAGTTTCATGCATTGTATTTAGTGAATGTTTGTTATTATGTAATTTGTAACTTTGTTTGTTTGAATTTTTTAAAAACCATAAAATTCGATTTTACGACGGTTTTACGACGGTTTTTCTAAACCCTAAACCCTAAGTCTAGGTTTTTAGCCCTGAATGAATAGGGTTTCAACATTACGACGTCTTTACGACGAACCATCGTAAAATCGTCGTAAAGTTACGACGGTTTTACGACGAATACACTATTTCGTCGTAAAAGCGTCGTAATGTTGAAATCCAAGAATTTGAATCTTTTATATATTATTGGTTGTAAGGTATTTCACAATTGTTTTTGATTGGTTATCTTCTTTTATATGAAATGCTATCAATCTGATCAAAATCAAAAATTTGAAAAAAAACATACATATTTACAA